TAAATTGGTTTTTATGCATTTTTTTTGGCTTTAATAGCGTGTGTTTCCCCTACGAGCCCTTACAACTGCAGTTATTCGTCTTCTCATACTTCTGATACCGCTATCGATTAGTTGTTGGGCAGTCTCTCCCATTCCTCAATCAAAGCAATTGTGACTTCCTCTCTGTTTTGAATAGCAGGAACCCGTGCCATAAGTTTTTTGCCTAGCATGTCCCACGTATCCTCTATCGGGTTTAGGTCTGGGGAACAAGCTGGCCAATTCATCGTTGTTATACCCACTTGTAATAAGAAATATCTTACACAGTCTGCGACGTGTAGGCTCGCATTAAAATAAAATTTTCGCCAATATATGGTGAAAAAGGTACCACATGGTCTTGGAGAATATCTCTCATATACTTATCTGCTGTTAATGCTCTATCATCAATCACCACTAACTCTGTTATTGCTCCCAAACATATACCGCCCCACACCATAATTGAACCCCCACCAAAAGGTACGGTCGTAGTAAAATTGAAAGGGGCATTTCGTTCTCCTTGGCGTTGATACAATCTTTCTCTACCGTCGATGTAATTTACACAGAAACGGCTTTCGTCCGTAAAGAGAATTTGACTCCAGTGGTTATCATTCCAATTTTGATGTACTCGACCAAATTGTAGTCGTGCTAAACGATGGTGTCTCTGGAGTCTGGGAGCTTTTATTGGCACATATGACTTGAGACCGGCTTTTTTTAGTCTCTTTCTTACTATGCGCTTAATTAAATACAAGTTTGTACTTGTTATGAACAGACAGAATGACTGTAAAATGTAAAACACAATACAAATAAACAAATTAATTTGACATTTAAGACTTTCTTGTGACAAGGAGCTTTCAAAGCTATGTAGATATAGTCTATAAAATACAAATATAAAGAAATATTGCATTAATAACAGGTTCCTTTAAATTTGCCGGTGTGTGTATTAAATTGTTAACTTCTCATAGCCTACTTTAGGCTTGTTTATTAAACTAAGCAGAAAATGAGGATTTATTGATAAAAAACATGGCTAGTTGTTAACGTACCTAACTTTTTTATTATCAAACATAAGCAAATGAATTAAAAAAGAAAATGTTAAGAAAGCCTGAGGCTATAATTAAGTTTTAATTTCAATATTTTATATATGCTAGAATATTCCACAGGGTGTTCCGAACTTTAAGAAAAAAACATAGTAGGATTGTTACACCCGGTATAAAATGACAATAACCTGTCTGGCAGCAATATTATTACATCGATATTTTTAAATAATATACCTATAACATACTAAAAAAATCACTAAAATCGGACAACAGGTTTAGGAAATTCGATACATCTAACATGTCCCAATTTTAAGGTGTTCCGTTAATTTTGCCGGTGAGTGTATTAGGAGCCCAGAATTTCTCATTTCAGAAGTTTGTCTTAGTGATGTTTTAGGTACAACTGTAACACTTAGTCGTCTTCTTCAGTCGCCAAAATTAGTTTTGAAGTAGGCTACTGAGGCCATAGAGGACACTAAATGCATATTTCAAAATAAAAGATCTTTACTATGAAGTACAGGAAATAGCTGAACAACTAGACATTAAATTGAAGATGCCTCGTATAGTTTCTTGTCAATCCTGTCGTCAAAACTAACCTGCTAACTCTTGCGAAGAATATTTCCGAATATCTATTTATTTACCCCTTTTAGACAATATCTTAACTGATTTAGAAGCACGACTTTCACCGAAAGTTATGAATCTATTTAATCTGAGTTGTTTTACCTAAAACTGATAACACACCAGAAGATAAAGTTACATTAAAAAAAATTGTTGACACCTTCCAGGCTAATATTGGACCATCTACTGCATATTCCACAGTAGAACAAGAGTTTTCACTGTAGATTCAAAAGTGGAAAAGAGTCATGCAAAATAATGAAAAACTTTCTGATTCTATTTTAGTAGAAGTATTAGAAAACTGCGATATTCATATTTATCCAAATATCAGAATATTTCTGAAAATATTAATTACACTGCCAGTCAGTGCAACAACAGCAGGGCGTAGTTTTTCTACCCTTAAGTGTCTAAAGACTTGGTTTAGAAATAGAACTTCGGAGGAAAGGTTAACTGGTTTAGCACTCATCAATGTGCATCCTGAAATTTTTCTAGATGTTGATGCAATCATAGAGCGATCTACTAAATCGAATAGGCGAAAAGAATACATTTTATGAAATTATATAATGTTTACTTATTTTAATTCTTACAGTATTTTTATTCACTTTACTTTCATTTACCACTCATTGCCGGCTGTTGCTGACAATTCGTGCGAAAAATATCTTCAAACTGGCTCCAGCTGGTAACTGCTGGAGCCCGTTTGAAGAGGTTTACTCTCCGGCCACTGGAACTCGCCTAAAACATGGGTGTATGTTACCTGAAGTCAAATTTAAATTAATATCAAACATCAAATGTGATTAACAACATTATGTACAATCTTTAGCAAACATATGTAATTTAAAGGGTTTTTACCCTGATATTTTGGTGGCTCAGGCATGTCAATTTGCAATTTAATCCTGATGATGGAATTTTTATTCTGAAAACGTTCGTGTAATTGATGTACCCCTTTTAAGGGTTTTTTAATATACCCATTTACAAAGATCTAACCTCTTTTTGTAATACAGCCAGCTGCAGGAATTATTTTCCTTGTGGATTTTATAAAAATAACTATTCTTAAATTATATTCTGTTTTTTCTTGAATAAATTAATTTAAATAAAATTAATAGTTTAAATCTTAAGGTCCATTCTTTATTACGGAGAGGTGACTATAACTACAGCAAATTGCTCTCTATCTTGAGCTGTTCTTAGTATCGAATATGTGTCCATGCCTGTCCAGTCTCTTACATTCTTTAGCCAGGAGCATTTTCTTCTTACTGGACCTCTTTTTTCCTTCTACTTTCCCTTTCCTTATGAGTCGTAAAAAGTTATACTTTTCTCGCCTGTAAATATGTCCTAGATAACTCGTTTTTCTGTTTTTTATATTATTTAGGAGTTTTTTCAGTCCTCATTCTTCTCAACACCTCGACCTCATTGTTGGTCATGAGCTCAGTACACTAAATCTTTAGCATCCTTCTAAAAACACATATTTCAAAGGCTTCTATACGCCTCATAATGGTAGTTCCAAGAGTTCATATTTCCACTCCGTATAGCAGTAAGGAATAAATGATTTTTTTTACAAATTGATATCGGATATTCAACGATAAAATAGAATTTATTAGAAATATTTAATACATTCATTAACGTTCACACTTACATTGAGTTATTGCATATAAATTACTTAACTTTGGTTTATACTTATTTATGCTTGGTTTGTTCTTGATTTTGTAGCCATATAATAAGTAGGTTTAAATTAATTGTCTTTAAAATACCTAGTTTAAATTGACAGTCCTTGATTTTTCAGTATTTATATTTTAATAACTTTCCTTTGGTTTAATAATCTGATACACTTGATTTTACTGTTATAGAGTATGTGGGTTTAATAGTACATTGTTTACTGGGTAGGAAAAGCTTAACATTCCTGGGTGACTGTGAAGATTGCTAAGTCGAGGCGCAAGTCGAGACTTAGCAACACAGAGTCCAGGAATGTGGCTTTTCCTACGAGGTAAACATACTATTTTTCCGCAAATCGTTTAAAATTCGACAGATATTGATTGATTTAAAAAAAAACGCGATAATTTTATTCCCAAATAAATGGTGCTTTGAAATTCCTAATAAAATTACTTGGGTTACTATGGAAACGTATTGAGGTTGAATTGTCAAACTTGACGCTTATAAATTTAATTGCTGGTGTTCTCGAAAGTAAAATATTTATGTTTTCTATCATTTATGTAGAACACTAACAACTGTACGGAAATATCATTTCCTTACAGTAAGGAAATGACATTTCCTTACAGTAAGGAAGTCCTGACTTTTTCTTCAAGAAATTTTGACAGGAATGTCAAAATTTCCTGGCGATTTGCGGAAAATTATATTTTTTGTTTAAGTTTAAAACCCCTTAATGTTATATCCTTCTTTGCACCCGTAGGATATTTGGGTTTTAATAGCTTATCATTGGTTTAATATATAGCTTAAAATTATTATTGAGAAAATGGTTCCCATACATGAGGCACAAATTATAACAATTTTGAAACACCTTTGAATTGAGAGTGTCAGAGAATACTCATTTTTGTATGATACATCGGACTCAAGTTACCATGAGAATAAGAAAAAGGCCAATGCCTGGGCAAAAATTTTACTCCATAGATGGCACTATGCGTTTTTAAGATAACATTAAAACAGCACATAACATTTCTTCTAGATATATTTTATTAACAAAAATACATTATCGTCCTCCACTATATACACGTTCAAGTTTCTAAGGTACGCTTCTATTTGGAAACACAAAATTTTCAGTGAAGGCTTCACTGATTTATTCTGCTAAAAAGGTCGTTCGACTGCCAAGATAAGAAAGGTCACGATTAGCGATATAGCATTATATACTTTACGATTTAGCAGGTACACCGTCAATGCAACCAAAATGCAGTATATACACATCTTACCAGAGAGAGCGAGAGAGAGAGAGAGAGAGAGAGAGAGAGAGAGAGAGAGAGCACATTTCAAAAGAATTGACTACACGAACAAAGGAGTATATTGATCTAAACTTAAATTTTCTTTTTAAATTTTTGGCATCAGAACTCAAATCGTAATTTGATGGTGTCAGCTAGGGATTTGCTAGCAATTCCTTCTGTTCTTTTTTGGCAACTGAATGGCATGATCAACATAAAAACCAACGTTATCTTCATGGTAATTATCATTTCCTTTAATCGTTGTAGAAGACCCAGAGATAGCAACATGCAAAGGTAAAGGATTGTAAGACATTTGTTCCCCTTGCGTCTCGCCGGGTAGACCCTTGCTAGAATACTCTAATTACGTATATTAATTGATATTATTGATATATTTATTATTGTTTTTGTAATATTTTAGGGCCAAACAGTTTTTAGAAGCGAACAATTTAAACAAAAATATTGTTAACGATGTGGAGAATTTTATTTGCCAATGGAAATTTAAGTCGGAATACGATCTAACAGCAATATGTGAAGATTTGGATAATCTTATCGAGGTGCTGCAAGAAAACTTTTTCGGTAGAACTACAGACATTAGCATATTTAATTCCATACATTGGTGAGTACACTAAAATATTACTCCAGGAAAAAAAGCCGAAATTACTTCAAAAATCGAAAAATTACTGGGCTCTATTTTTCAAATGAAATTAATGGATGAAGTCAATAAAAAAGACGTACCATTTCGTGGGTATCAAAATTTTTACTGGGCCATGGTATTTTTATTAACATTTAACCAAAAAAGCGACTTTTTTCATTTATTTCAATATTGTGAAAAAACCAAGCATTCCTCGAAAAAACTACAGAAATACTTTGCTTGTAAAAATGAGATTTTATAATTTAAAAAATGTTTATGTTATGTATTTAATGAGGCACCGACTATTGTACAAAACTGTTTATTAAAAGATACAGTGGTTACAAACATACATTAGGTATGGATGGCTCCGTAGACCCACGGCCTTCCACCACCTAACCTTACTATCGACCCCTAGTCTTTTCCACAGTGTCTCTTATCCCGCTGCCGGACTCATATATAACATCTCCTCCCTCGTTAGAGATCAAGCTTAATGGGAGCTTTTACTAGTCTTCCAGAGCGCGTTCTAATATTGCAATCATTGGATGTTTCATCACTCGGTATAGATGTGTTTGTTTCTTCTTGTGATGAACTTGGAATGGGCTCCTTCGGTTCTAATTGAATAAGTTCGTTTTTCAAATTTGGATTCACTGGGATTTCAATTGTAACACTCTCACGTAACACTGGCACATCATCACTCACTATAGGAGGTTCTGCTTGAGCTTCCTTAGAATCTGGGATTCTATCTTCACCTCTGTCTTTTCTCATATCATTTGCGTGTGTAAATTTTATTACACCATTACTACATACTAGATAAGTACAGTAACTTACAATTTTCATAATCTTTCCTTTCTGCCATAGTTTTGTTTGTACGTTTTTAATATAGACACTTTCATTTACTTTATACCATGTATGCCCATTTTTAATTGGGATAGATGCATGCTTACTATTATGACGAGAAGGTTTCAACATATTAAATCTAGTTCTAGGACGCACTTTAAAAATACTTTCACTTGGAGAAATCCCTAGACAGAAAGACCAATTACAGTAAACATATCTCTTAATTTTGATATAGTTTCTGATGCCTCTGTACCATTTGTCATTAATTTTACATCTAGCCATTTTGATTTCTCATCTATTAAAATTAAAAATGTGTACGTAAATTTAACGAAGAAATCTATATATACTGTAAAAGTTGTGTGGTGCAGACGGCCGCGGACATAATTCCTTGCTTGAATTTGTGAAATTTTGACATTGTTGACATACATTACAACATGATATGAATTTTTCAATATGTTCATTCACATTTGGCCACCAACAATATGCACGTACCAACATTTTAGTACGAACAATATCATTATGTTGTTCGTGAAATAAGTCTAACACCTTATCTAGTAATTGATTTGGAATAACTACTCTATTTCCCACTAGGATACAGTTTTGTTCAATTGACAATTCATTTCTACGTTTAAAGTATGGTTTCAAAGATTCATCACTCACTTTCCTAGGCCAACCCGATAAAATGAAATCTTTTACTTTTAATAACAACAAATCTTTGTTTGCTTTATTTGCAATATGACACGCGTTTAAAGGCATTTGATCTACCAAACTAAAAGAATACAAATAGTCTGTAATTTTTGTATTATCAATACAGGGTAAACGTGATGAACCATCAGCATTGTTAATTGGTGCCCCTTTTTTGTACTGAATATCGTACTGATAACCTGACAGAGTGATAGCCCATCTTGTAATTCTTGCAGCCGCTGAAATTGGAATTCCTTTCCAATTCCTTTCCTTCTTCTAACAAACTAACTTTCGAACGACATACTGCACTTGTATGTCCCACTTTCTTACAACTGAAACATTGCCATGCTTTGGCTGGACATTTTGACGAGTCATGTTTTCTACCACATCTAAAGCATGACTTAGGTTGGACATTACTTCTACCAGTTTGATGGCCATCATCTTTCTTCACTGTAGCTTCCCTCTTTCTGAACATTGTTTTACCTAACTTCCCTTCTATTGTCGCTACATTTTCCTGTTCCATCCTTCTAACTTGACCTTCTGTAAGTTCTATTGACAAGGCTATCTCATAAGCTCTATCAAAGGAAATGTTGTCTTCTGCCAGGAGTTTACGTCTTATTTGGACTGATCGTACACCACATACAAACCTTTCTCTGAGACATTCTTTCAAAAATTGCCCAAATTTACAATATTGAGCAACACTTTTCAGTTTTGACACAAAACTTTTAATATCCTCCTGAGGCTCTTGATTTGTATTGTAAAATTTATACCTTTCAGCAATAACTAACCGCTTTGGACTATAATGTTCAATCAGAACTCTTTTTAACTCCTCAAATGTTTTTGAACTTGGTACCTCTGGTGCTAATAAGTCTTTTAAGACACTGTCTCTCCGCCAATTAAAGAAATCAATAATGGAACTTCCTTGTCTTTTTACACTACATTACATATAAACAACTGCTCAAGTCTCTCTATATAAGAGGTGATATCACTTTTCGCAGGATTGAACTGCTCAATGTGTCCAATTAACGACATTTTTCGACTTTTGCGTGGATTCTTTCTGTTACTCTTCGCCAAATATGCTATGTATTTAATAAGGCACCGACTATTGTACAAAACTATTAATTAAAAGATACAGTGGTTACAAACATACATTATGGATGGGTCCGTAGACCCACGGCCTTCCACCACCTAACCTCACTATCGTCCCTAGACCCTAGTCTTTTCCACAGTGTCTCTTATTCCGCTGCCGGACTCATATATAACAGTTTACAAACGAAAAAAATATTAAAATCAAACCCGAATGTAAGCATGTTATTTAATTGTTTATGATGTATGTAATTACTAGATGTGCAAAAGATGGGCCCTAAATTGGCTATACAGAAACTAAGCAAAAATCCTCGGCCAATTGGTTTCTTGTACACATAAAGAGTATATCGAAATGAAAAGAAAGACAGTTAAGATTTGATATCACGTATAGTGCCTCTGTATACTCGCTTATACGTATTTCATCCTAAAACGAATCTTCGGAGCGACTATTGACAGAAGCCCTGTACGTGAAAACAACCTTTCCTGTCGAAAAGAAAGCAACGATAAAATGGCTTCACTATGGATGCAATAGCGACATCTGATATTAAATCACGAACTAGAATTCTGAAGATTTCTAAATTGACGAAACCAAAATCCAGATTTTTTGCTTTAATCTGTGCCTTCTAAGAATTGCAAGTAAAACAGACGTTCATAAAGATATAATTCGAGAAAATGGGAAATCTAAAATTGCATTCCATAACATATCTCCTCAACTAAGCAAAAATCCTTAACGAATTGGTTTCTCGTACTCATAAAGAGTATATCGAAATAAAAAGAAAGACACTTAAGATTTGATTTCACGTATAGTACTTATTATTTGCTTAATATTCGCGGTTTTGATAAAGGTTACTAACCCATTAATGATTAAGGGGTCGTTACAATCCACGAACTGAAAATAAATCTAGTGTGGGCTGTGATTTGCAGATGGAGCCAGGATTATCCCCACCACTAAGTAACACGATGGATTGATTATGGATATGATCAAGACAATTTACATTGTAGGAGAGAAATTGGGCAGCATATTTAAAAAAAAAATGGAGTTACACCGAAAATGCCTGGACCAAAGAGAGCTTCTTTTGTAAAATACCACTTCAGAAAACTCATTTGATAGTTTGCCGTCAGATACGAAGATATTCCCAGTGTAAAAATAAAACTACGGAAGCATGTCAAAGCTGTCAAATTCCACTTCCGATAAACAATGTTTTGATGAATTTCAATAAATTAAAAAAAAAATTAATCTTGGTTTTTATTTCATTAAGTGCCCAAGGGGTCGTTAACGACCCACTCTCAAAATTGTACTAAATATAAAAAAAAACATTATTTCATGTCATATTTAATAATTTTGTAACACAAAACATTGATTTGAATGGTTTTAATAGTTCTAGACATTAATGGGTTACTTTTTAAATGTTAACTTATAAATAATTGATGCAGATTTAAATACATTTAAATTATCTGCGCCGTTTTAACCTTTAGAAAAAACAAAATACACCATCTAAAATATTATGAGAAACACATCTTAAAAAGAAGTTTGTACGACCCATAGGACCGAATATACTCATTTAAAATGTAATTAAGTTTATACATACATAATTTACCTTCTCTTTTAATTTTTTTTTTTAATTTGGAGTAGCTGTTTTATCATTTTTTGCTTTGTTCGATTTGCTCATTTTTTAATTGTTTTTATTGATCAAATAATATTTATTCTAAATTATTTTTAATGGTTAAAATTATTACAAGATTAATAAAAATAAGTATCAATATATATATACTTTTATAAAACATTTATTTCTGTTTTGAAAAAAGCAGTACAAGTAGTAAAAAGAAAAATAAGGGCAAAAACCAATTTTTTGTAAAAAATGATTTTTTTTGTAAATAAAATTGGTTTATAAGGGTTTTATATATCGTGTTATTTTAAATAATATAAAGAAAATTTAAGTAAGTATTAAAACTAGTGAAAAAAATTAATAGATCGAAAAAATGCCAAACAAAAAAAAAAACATGATAGAGATAGTGCCAACACTCCTGACCATGGGGCTGCGCGAAGGCGGAGTAAAAAATTCACGTAAAGGTCGAAAGGTTCTATTGTAAACCTAATTTTGTCTTCTGCGCCGTGGTCAGGAGTGTTTGCCCTATCTCTAGCATACTAAATTTTTAGGGGTAAGTGGTGGTTTTATAGGGGTAAAAATATGTTAGACCTTATTATTTGGACAAGCTACCCCAAATAAAAAAAAAATATGATGGCTGATTACTGCTGGATTTTAAAGAGGAACTCGCTCACCAAAAAGGGAATACTATAAAATGCAGTTTTCACGGAATAAACGAACGATTTTATTTAAAAAAAATAACCATTCCCTAACTTTAGATTATACTGCATTGTTTCTTTTATAAATAACTCAATTTTGCAGTGTAATTTCCTATTAAATATAGTTTCATTTTATTTTCGTTTTGGTAGACATAAATTTACTGACTGTTTTTACTTGTGTCAAACTTATAGCGCTATACAAAAACAGTTAGTGTGGGATAATGCCAATCTTTTAGTGATTTTTCAACTAGATATGACGAATTTAAAACACATATATGACGACCATGTCAATATTGATATGAGTTTTCAACAATTTAAAGATTTTTGTTCTTTTTGTTGGAAAGATAAATATGGATTTGTAGTGATTCGTAAGGATTGTTTGTTATCTTCGGGAAAATATCGCAAAGGGTTTGATACATTTCTTCTTCTTCTTCTTCTTCAGATGCAAATCCACTAATGGATGTTAGCGATCACATTTTCCATTAATTCTCTATTTCTTGCAATATGTATCAGAGATTGTATGTCGTTAATCCCTGTCCATTGCCTTATGTTTCGGAGCCAGGACATTTTCTTGCGTCCCATTCCTCTCTTGCCTTCAATTTTACCCTCGATTATAAGTTGGATGAACTGGTATTTTTCATTTCGCATGATGTGACATAGATACGCCGTTTTCCTTTTCTTGATGGTTTCAAAATGTTGGCGTTCTTGGTTTATTCTTTTAAGGACATCTATATTTGTGATTTTCGCTGTCCATGGTATTTTTAGGATACGGCGATAAAGCCACATTTCGAAAGCTTCCAATCTGTTTATATCCCTCGTTTTGAGTGTCCAGCCCTCTACGCCATATAGCAGCACTGACCATATGTAACACTTAGTAAACCTTAGTCTCAGTTGAAGATCGAACTCTGAACAAGTCAGTACCTTCTTGAAATTTACGAAAGCTTGTCGAGCTTGCTCAATGCGACATTTTACTTCCCTGTCCGATGCCCAGTCTTCAAAAAGCCACGATCCCAGGTATTTAAATTTACTCACTCTTTCTATGGATTTACTATTCAGTGTTATGGTGGAGTTTTCAAGTGCATCCAAGTTTCTGGAGATGATCATGAATTTGGTCTTTTTGGTATTAATCTCTAGTCCCATTCGCTCACTGTATTCTCCGATTATAGTGACAAGTTGTTGAAGATCGACTATGTTGTCACAAATTAAGACACCATCATCAGCATAAAGGTATGTTGTTGATCAATACTCTATTCACCTTGATTCACATCTCTGCATCCTCCAAAGACTCTTGAAATATGGCTTCCGAATAAATGTTAAATAAAAGAGGGGAAAGCACACATCCCTGTCGAACGCCTCTTCTTATATGTATGGGCTTGGATATAGAATTGTCTATTTTTAGCTGTGCCGTTTGATGTCAGTACAAGTTTTCAATGCATCTTATGGCTTTTTGGTCTATATCAACTTTCTTGAGAATCTGCATTAACTTGTGGTGTTGGACACGATCAAACGCTTTTTGGTAATCTAAAAAGCATAGGAACACATCCTTCCTCTGATCGTAACAATTTTGGACTAGCACCTGTGTTGCTACTATTGCTTCTCGTGTTCCTAAACCTTGCCTAAACCCGAACTGGGAATCACTGATGTCCCATTTACATTTTTTGTATAATCTTTGATGTAGTATTTTTAAGAATATCTTGATACATTTGTACATATATAAAGGAAGAAGTACAACTTTTTAATGTTAGTAAAAATGGATACTCGAATCGCTAAACAACTATTAAAAACCCGCCAACCGTTAAAACGAAAATATCGTAGTTTAAAAAGTGATATTATCAAGTCTCAGAGTCAGTTAGAAAAAAAATTATCAACCCATAACAAAACCTCTCAAGGAGTTGTTATTAAAATTAGAACCTACAAGTAATATAAAACAAGAACCTACAAGTAATATAAAACAATAATCTATCCCACTTAAACTACCTAAATCACCTAAATTTGAATCTCCCAAGTCTAATTATCGTCGATTAAGCACACCAAATCTTAGTTTATATCAACTTGCGACTTCATCACCGAATAAACGTTCTCCTTCATCTAAAACACTTGCCAACTTTGGAAAACTTCCTTTTATCCCACCTAGCGGGATCTAAGAAACATTTGAATCACGACTTGGAGAAAATAGTGCAGAAGATACCCTTACACTTTACAAACATTTTCTTAGTATTTTTGTCAGTTTCTATCAAATTTTCACGCTTTCTATGCTTGTAACACTTGCACACCTTTTAAGAATGACATTAGGTTGAAATTCATTGGAGCGAAAAGGATTAATTCGTGTAAACAGGAATCACTCCAGCCCAATGGTTCAAACCATCCACTTCCCTTCGATAGCACTATCATGCGCTATAGAGACTCTCTTATTAGCAAAGTGCTTATCATGTGGGAAGCCTGGGTACAAGAACTTCCATCCGAAATCTTACCCCGAACAATACAGACCAGCGAAGGCGCTTCATTCTCGGTATCTCTAGTGACTAATCTTCGATTACTTACTTGGGTCTCGAGTCCCCGCTCTGGGCTATGCCCAGTTCGATGACTCGGCACTCGAGGATGTGCCCCCCCCCCGTTTTCTGGGTTTTTTAAATATTTTTTGTGGCTTGCTCCCCTTGTTACTGTTTTATAAATTTTTTGGTGGCCAAAGCCGTTTTTGTGTTTTTGTAGATTTTTTGAGGGCTTTTTGAAACATATAAAATCAACATTAATAAATACATTACGTTGCCAAAGTTGCGCGCCTTGTCCTCTTATAATAGAGCTACAATTATCTAGACCCTATTATATGTTTGCTAATATTTGCTATTTGGGTCTTCTGTGCTTTCATCTATGATACACATCAAACATTAATATCTCTTGCAGGATCCAATTTCGATGGTCTTCTAGCTCAGCGAATTTTGTTCTGGGTTTATTTTGTTTTAGGTCTCTGAATAGAAACCGTTCAGCGACGTATCTGGGCACGTTTGCAGCTTCTTTTTTAAGTTGTTGTATGCTGCTTGAATCTGTTTTTATTTCTATTACTTGTATGTCCCCATGTAAGCTATGCATATGTAATTATTGGTAGTATGATGCTGTTTATGAGTCTTAGTTTTGTTTTTATAACTAATTTGCTTTTTCTTCCTGTGAGTCCTCTTATTGCGGCTTTTTCCGTTGCTGTTATCTGGACTGGCGCGTTAACATGTCGTCTGAATATTAAACCTTGGTCTGTTGTGACTTCTAGGTATTTACCTTTGATTTGCCATTCGATTGGTCTGTCTTGCACTGTTAGCTTTTCTTCTAAGTTATCTCTTCTGATTTTGAAGATGACCACTCGGGCCTTTTCTGGAATTATTGCTATTTTTCATTGGATACTCCATTCTTCTATCATATTCAGTATTATCTGTATATTTCTTACAGCTATATCCAGGTTATTGTGTTTTGCTGCGATTGCAGTGTCGTCTGCATAAAAGCTGATTAGTGTTCCGTGTGTTCTTGGAACGTCTGCTGTAAATATGCTACACAGGAAGGGTGCCACCTGACCTGAACTATTACACTTAAAATACTTTTTCATGAAATTGAAACTTTATTGACAAACTACCCGAATTTCAGCTCTTAATGTTTACAAACTATGGAGTTGTGAATTAAAAAAAATATCTTAGTTTCTATGGGTTGTACTAACTTCTCATTTGTTTAAAGATGTAGTTTTACATCGTTGTTCATAATCTTTCAGATAGTGTATTTTTTTGTAAATTTTAAAAAGGCCCACATAACTTAAATGTTTTGAACTTGTTTGGAATCAATTATTTATAAGAACACAATAAAATATTTCTGTACTTTTTTAAAAACATAAAAAACTTGAAACTTTTTGAAGATAACCAAAAAACCCTTCTATATATTGACAATGCATCTGTACAGCCATTTGAAAATGACATTTTGTTCTTAAATGGGATAAACAGATAGAATTACTTAATAACTACTCGACCGATGGGGCCTTTTGCATATATAGTAATTAGATAAAAACTCACATTATGAAATGTGTTTTAAATATCTTTATTGTTTTTTTTTATTTAATTGTTATTTTAATAATTATAAACAATTAATAAAAATGCTTACTTCTGGGTTTAATTTGCAATATATATTTTATTATTATTTATAACCATTTTTTAATTTAGAAACTTATTTTAAATTAAAAAGTATTTTCAAGCAAGTCATCTGTTGAACGTTTTCATTTCCAACGCCTAGTTTTTTAACAATATTGAAATGAATGAAAAAACTTGCAGTAAAAATTTCGATACCCAGAAGATGGTACGCCTTTTCTATCGAATTCCCCAAGTTATTCCAGTTGAAAAATAGCGCCCAGTAATTTTTGATTTTTAAATGCTTTGTTTCTTGGAGCATTATGATTGTTTGCCTACAAGATCGTAGCCAAGTAGGAAAAATTTATTAATTTCTAAATTTAACAATTTTTTTGAACACGATTTCCTTGAAAATAGAAACATCAAAGCAATGTAAATGTCGTTCTCATTACAATCAATCATGTAAAATATTTTTTTTTGTATTCGACATGCCACAAAAAAACAGTTTTAGAACGAGCTTAATTAGTAAATAAATAACTATTTTATTTTAGCGTGGTTTACAACCTACTTTGGGACAATTTAAAACCAGTAGTACGAGCCAATTGTACCGAACGTGATTTGCGTGTATATGAAACGTCAATGACGTTATGCAAAAACCAAAATTTTCTTGTCGAACAAAACGATAGTTCCTACTGTTCAGTTCCTTATACCGCAGCAGTAAGTACACTTGTAATATACATTAAATCCTATTATTAATAAAAATACAGCCCGTCAGAGAGAAGTTTTCTTATTATCATTCATTGATTATAATACGGCTAAAAGGTTGTGTTCACTTTTTTCATGAAAGTCTATAAAAGCAACAACATATAAAACATATTTTGGTTACATATTTTAATACTCCCACGCATAAAATGCCTGGAAAGCATTTGGTAAATTAAACTACGTGTATTTAAATCGAACCTACCCAGATGCTTCAAAAGGAAAATTTTTGAGTAGTGTGTACTCACTTATTGAGCGAAAACGTTATCACTTACAAAAAGAGAAGTAGTGAACAAGATTCCCGTCTTTCAGAGGGCAATGAAGTGCCAATTTTGGGTCTGTCTCACCAGTATATCAGACAACCGATTAACAAAACGTATTGTCGAATGGAAGCCAAGGCAAAAAACAATACGGAGCAGAGGACGACAGATGGACTGACGACCTGAAGCGTATACCTGCGAAGTAAGCAGTAACTGGATGCAAGCTGCAAAATCCAGATATAGATGAAAGGAGCTGAGCGAGACCTATCTCTAGCAGTGGACTCGTACAAGTTGATGATGATGATGGTGATGATAATAACGATCACATATTATAATGGTTGTCAGATCAAACAATGCAGAAAATTCACTTTAAGAGTTCTAAAAAGTACAAAACTGGTTTTGCGGGAATCAGAGTCTGTCCTGTACAGAGTACTGGAGCGCTTTTACCAAAACTTGGATCTGTAACAACTTGAGACTGCAGACAGTTTCTTACCAAATAATTTTAATATGAATACCATAGTATAAAGAAATTGCTAGTAGATGTTAGATATAGTCCTATTAAAGAAGGAAGAGATACTCTTTTTATCGGACCGGAACCATTTTACCAAACCCTACTACCTACCAAAAGAAATGAATTATACGTGCAATACGTCTAAAGAAGAACTGGAAAAAGGCGCGAAAAATTCTAAGACAATTTAGAAAAATTATAAAACACAGGTATTAATAATATACCAGTTAAAATTTTTAAAATCGTAGTAGGTATATACACTAATGCTTGGATTTTAGCCATACTCTACCGCGCTGGCCAGTGCGAGTTGGTAGAGGGTAGGATGAAGGTGTGAGTTTTAAAAGGGGGAGAGATAGGAAAAAGGTATGAGGACCTGGCCCCCCTCAGGCAAGGAAGGAGGGAGAACCAGAAGCTAGCATAAGGCAGGGTCACTAATCCCTGTAGCAGCCTGTCTTCTACTGGGATTGTAGAAGAGTGCTACCTGCCACAAATTGGATTCAGATGGCACAAAATCGGACTAAATGGAAAAGCATGCGAGAGGACTATGTTCAGCAGTGGACGTTAGATGCTAGTTGATGATAATGATGATGATATACACTAATAAAGAGACTTCATAAACTAATAACAAACGTATAACCTATGACAACATAAACAGCGACAAACTATATTTCAATTACTATTTAACTGGGAATAAGCCACAATTAAAGATAAAAATACGTTTATTGACGTTTCAATTTCCACTTCGGAAATCGTTCTCAAAATACAAACAGTAAATTGGATAATTACAATTATCAGTTTCTCTTCTTCACTGTAAAAGTTTCTTATTTTTTTGTTGATTCTTCGCAGTCTACTCAACGTAGTTCAGTCTATTGTATAAATAGGTACAAAAATTTATTACCTATTGAATGATTAAAACTGAAATTATACTTAAGCCGAAAAGGAATTAACTTGTTTATTAAAATAAATAAGAAAAAAAATTTGTAAAATAATAGTTATTATTATTTGCCCACCGGCAAATTTTTTAGAGATTTATCCTCTCTTGAAACTTCTTATACGACTTCCTTAGACCAAGTCTGCCACAGTTTTCCTCTGTGACTTTTTTTGGTTCGGGGGCGTTTTCCCCCTATATTTTCCGAAACATGACCGTTTCACGACATGTGCAAAAATGATACATACTCTTGCCATATTTATTGAATGGCTCGATTTTAGTGATTAATAAAAGAAAATAATATTCTCTGACGCCATAGATGAGACGGTAAAGGTGACCCCCCCCCAAACATGCCCGAAAAACGGTCAGTGCAAAAATGATAAATAACTAGCTAATTTTTTCTGTATGGCTTGCTTTAACGAGAAAACTAACGGTTCTAATATTGTCTGACATCAAGAGCCAAGCCCTTTTTCCAGTCTGACGCGTCAAACGTGCCCTTCTCACGCTATCTAATGATTAATACTCGTCAGATATCGATATATATTGTCACAAAAAGCAAATACTTAATGAATGCTAAAAAGTCTGACGTTTAAATTGGGACATAACTCCAGTCTGACGCAAAAACCCTATTTTTCTTTAATGATTGTACTGACCTTTAAGAATCATACACAATATTAATTAATGCAGCAAATTAATTTTACATCTAATATTCTTATTAAAATTGTATTTCGAATACTTTGTAAATTATGTATGCGTATTATTTCATTATTCTAATTAATTAATTAATATAGTACATTACATATTTTAAAACTTAAAACTGCAACATTAATCAAGGAATTTTTGTTTCGCGACACACTTGTAAAATTTTAACATATGAGTAATTTATATAATATGATGCATATGATTTAAATTATTTGTTAAAAATAAAATTGTCTATTTATCAAAAAAATTTTAATTAAAAAATTTTTTTATAAAACTTAATATTATTACGAATATGTGCCTATAATATCCATAACATGAATAAATATTCTTTATAAAGATTAGTTTTTCTTTATATAAAAAAAACGTGTAAAAATACTATAATAATTGTCAGAAATAGTAAAAAATTAGGAAAATAATAAAAAAGAGTTGAAAAATTGCAAAAGCATAAAAAAATAGTAAAAAAAATTATAAGGTCATTCTTACTCACTTTCTTCAGAGTCAGAGTTTTCACTGGCATAGTCACATTCCTCATTTTCTGACTCTGTGATTTCATTTCAGAATCTGAAATTTACCAATTGTATTAATTTTTAAGAAACTGATCTAAATATTTCAAAAAAGTATATTACATAATAGAGGTGTGCTTATTAGTTAACTAAAGTTTATTAGTTAACTAGTAGCTTATAGTTAGTAGTTAACTAGACCAACTAGTTCAACAGAACTATTTCACAAAAATGAACTAGTTCAGTGAAGTAGTTCGCGAAAGAACTATTTGTAGGATCGACATCGAAATTCAACCCTAACAGAACTGGTTGCCAGATGTCTCGTCTCAATCATCACACAAGCTCGGCGCTGGCCGCCCGTTTACTTCGGTTTTCAGTCAGTCTTTCACTAGTTCACTACTGTACAAGTAGTTCCGAACTATTTCTTTCTTTCAGTCAGTCTTTCACTATAGTTTATTTTTATGAACGAGAGAGTAATTAGCATAATTTTAACTGGTTCCTCCGACCACTCCATGGGCGTGCTCAAGATTAATTGAAAAATTACTTTGAATAATTGTAAAAAATAAATGAATTATTTCAGTGTTATAAAGTGTTATATGTATGTAAACAAAAGTGACCTCTTTTATCACACACTATATTAGAACTGACTGGCCTACATTAAAAAGGGTTTTAAAAAATTCACATTTTTTTTAATTTTTAAAAATTACAAAAGAGAAAAAGAGTTTTTAAAATCGTCTAAGGTATGTTAAATAGATGAATAAAAATATTAATATAAAACTTACAGCTACTTGTTACAAATCCAAATCAGATTCAGAAGATGAACTTTCAGAACCAAGATTTATAATAAGTGGCTCGATCATTTTATCAGTAATATTGTCCAGCTTCCACATTTTTTCCTCTTCTTTAATAGTGTGATTTACTGCCTTTTCCCAGTTTTCAGGTTTTACATTATTTACGGCCTCCAAAAACAACTGTTTAACATCATGAATTTTAAAAGTGGTATTTTTTCTTAAAACTTCACTCTTTATCTGTGCCCATACCAGTTCAATCGGGTTTAATTCACAATGATATGGTGAGGATCTAAGTACTGTCATTCCACGATTTTTGGCAATTTCATCAATTTCGTATTTTTTAAATTTTTCTTTATGAAGGGCACACAACGAATAAAGTTCCTTTCTTATAGATCCGGGATGATACGTAATATTTTTTGAACTCAGCCAATTCTGCAAGTCTTTTTTTAACCACTTGGTTGTGGGCAGTCCTTCTATAAGTCTGGAGTGATAACTTGCATTATCCATTAGTATTACACAGTTCTTAGGAAGAAGATCTATCATTTGTTCGAACTATTCTTGAAAGACATCAGCGTTCATGTCTTCATGGTAGTCACCGGTACGAGTTGATTCAAAAGTTAATAAACCACCTTCAACAAAACCGTCTGAACTGCCAATGTGTACTATTATCAGCCGGCGTCCCTTTCCTAATGGTGGGTTTAAACCAGTAGATAAGTTATTTACAAAAGCGTGCCTTTGACTTGTAACAGTTTCATCCTGCCAAAATTTATTTGATGTATGACCCTCGTTGATCCATGTTTCATCAAGATAAAATATTTTTCTTTTTTGGTTTCTCATTTCCTTTATGGTTCTTAGAAAATGTCTTCTCCATATGACAATATCGCTTCTTTCTAATAAAATAGACTTTCTGGGATTCTTTTTCCAGCAGAAGCCTATTTCTTTTAAAAGTTTCCATAACGTACTTCGACTCATTTCTGGGTAATCCTTATCATCTCGAACTGAGACAAGAACTTTATCCAATGTTGGAAATTCATGTCTAAAGAACAATTCATGCACTTTCCGTCGAAGTCTGGAGCATTACGTGGCATTTGAAAACTACCACATTTCTTTTCTTTAATAACTCTGTAAATCGTAGATTTCCCAACACCAAGTGTACTGCTAACTAACTCAACGGTCTCATCAACACTTTCACATAAACGTTGGTCTGTAAATGATTTAAAACAATTAAATATTAATGTTTTTTCATTAACTGTTAAAGGACCAATTTTTCGGCGTTTACACGGCACTTCCAAATTTTCCATAACACTAGTATATACAATAAACTGCACCTTGCAACTGAAGTACCTACTTTTAGTGAACTGTTAAGAATTTTGAATACGCCACTTGGACCTTCCTACAAAATGGAAAAACCCACTATCACATTTTCTGTGGAATAAGTTTAGAAGGTAATTACCTAGTCAATTACTGTCGTAGATTCCTGGAATTAAAGAATTAAATGTTTGATTGTTGAAACCCTTACTTCGTGGAATGCACTCATTTCAGATAAAATAATACGTTTTATTTTATCTAAAGAATTAAACTTTATTTTGCAAATAGGTAGGTACTTATTAAACTTTTATTGGTTATATATAACCAATAAAATAAATATCTTACATTTCTTGCAAATTTATTAGTACCTGTTAACCTCCATCACTCCGACACTGGCAACCTTATTTAGGGATTAGTAACCCTCACAACTATTGTATTCTATTCTGCTCCAACCTTTATACCTGGTGGTCATACTCAATTTAAAATTGTTTTCCTATATACTTCTGTAAACTTGTTGACAAATATCTGTTTTTCATTGAGTCACCCGTATCAACAGTTTAGGGATTTGCATACATAATTTATTGTTTTATTACTCTCTCATACATAAAAATACACTATAGTTCACTACCGTACAAGTAGTTCTGAACTATTTCTTTCGATCGTATGTTTAGGTTTAAATGGTTTAAATTATTATATGATTAGTTAGTTTTTATTTGCAAAAAAATATTAAGATTTGTTTTTATTAACCGTTTTAAATAAATTTATTTTTATATTTACGTATATTTAAACTAATAGGTATTTATAATTAGGTTATTTCTAAAAGAACCTTTACAAAAAAAATCAGTGAATTTTCTAGGAACATTAAATAACACATTTTTAATCTCACTTTTACATAAAATTATATTTTATGTAAATGCCTCAATCATTTTAACCACAACTAAAATTTTTATTTCAAAATTACAATACAAGAAACAACACAGCATGGCAACATCCAAGCCAATACATGGGCATAAGATCTAAACCATTATGACATTAAGATAAGACCTTATGGTATTGTCACATTCATAAGAATTATGAATCTGTTATCTGAGGCTAATCGGCATTTTTTTTAAACTAGTTAGTCCATCCATTCACAAAATAATAAATATATGTTCTAATTCATTCATTCATTATTTTCTTCTTTAGAAGTTGAGACACAATTTATAATGCAAATCGTTCGCAGTGAACTAGTTCTATGAAAATTAATGAACTAGTTCAATTAGTTCAGTTGAAAGAATCGTTCATTAGAACTATTTCGATGGTGAACTACACATCCCTGTTACATAATGTTAATTTACCTTCATCAGCAGATGTTGTATTCTTAAACGAAGGGCTTTGGGGACCATCGAACCAATAATGGACACATTCATTATCAATCAATGTGCACCCACAATCCTCGGGTATGTATTTTGTTGGTTGCCTTAAATGTGCATTGCACCATATTTTTCAATGTCATAAAAAACGCCATGATTAATAGTCATTTCTGAAGGAGAAATCTCCAGAAGTTGCAGGAGAGCATTTTGATAATTTATATTGCTTTTTAAAAGTTTAAATGGCCTTTTTTGCCTTTCCTAAAAAATGAGGGATTATAATCATTGCCCGTGTAAACATGCCAGATGGTAAGAGCTATTGCCAACTTTATTCCCATTTTTTGGAAAATTTTATTTATAAAAAGGTATTATTTCTTTTTATTAGTGCTCAAATCAACAATAATTTCAGCACCCGACTGTAAGTATTTCATATTGGCCAAAATTATCGTTGGTATATCGAAGTCACTGCAGCGAACGTGAATCTTATAGTTTCTTGTAATTTGATGAATGTGATTGACAAGTTTTGTGTCAGCTTCCTCATGTTTGGATGAAGAATTATAACCGATGGTTCTGTTTATATGACCATCACGCCTTTAAAAAACCAAGCATTGATCATAGTCAAGTTTGACAGTTTTGTCATCGCACAACGCCGAGTATTCGTCATTTTTCCAATCTTCTATTAAAAATTCTATAAACTGTTCTTTAAAGAATCTGCTTTGCAGTAATTTAGAGAAATCAAACGGTGGCCTATTTTCTCGGCTAATGATATATTGTGTTTTATTTTCTTCTCTTAATTTATGTTCGTAATCTTTAATAGAAGGCTGGTATGTGATTAGAATGAGCTGAGTATCTCTCTGAAACATGGGAAAAGGTGTGAAGTAAATAAAACCCGTCGACTCCCAAAAATTCTAAAACAGCTGATTATGGGATATGGGATATTGGGATATTCTTCGGTCTACTTAAATTTCAAAAGTATAATGCAATTTTTGATGTGTGCTTCTATCAAATATAATAAAATCGGAAATATGTAACATTTTAACAGTTTGATTTTTAGTAATAATAGAAAGTAGTTGTTAGTAAATATTTACTTTTTGATAAAACTTGACCTCGCCTTGTTAATTCTGTATTTTATATTTGTTGTAACATTACATTGATTGTGAATGATATATGTATTTTCCCAAATATTCCCAAATATATTTATTTTTCAACATGTTATATAGGTGTTTTATGTAGAAAATCTTTCTGTAGGTGTAACTTGTGGATTCACTTTGTTTTTGAGAAATTTAATTTAAGCCCAAACTCTTCAAATACAAAGTTTCTATTGCTTTTTATTATTGCAGAGTGATTTCAGTATAAATTTGCTATAATTCTGATGTCTTTGAGTCTATACTTGTGGATTCATCTCCTCTCCTTTTATTAATAAATAAAATAAATAAAATCCAAAATTAGGGATTTTAATGTTTTAATGTTTAATGTTCAATGTAATTTTAATGGGCGTTGATTTTTTCTTCTTTCTAGTTTAATATTTATTATATTATTATATTTAATATATTATATATATTATATTTATAAACTATTTAATTTGTTTCAGATAGTTGAACTCTCTTTTTGGGACTCTCACAATAGTCCATTGGAAAAACTGAACTGTTTGTGTACAACATATGATATTATATTCGCCGAATTAAAAAGTGCTTTAGTTAATTTAATATCTAAATATTCAGGTTAGAAAAAAGTTTATATCTTTATAAAAACATGACAACTTTTTCTAAGTTTATTATTCTTAATCTCATGTTACACTTTCTGTAGGCTTTAAATTAGTTTTAAGTTGATGCGGATAATATATGATGAGGAATGCGCACAGGCAACAAAAAAAAAAGAATCAGGCGTATGGGAAACTCCAAAACAGAAGGACAAGACAAAATCAAGATGAGTACAAACAGATGAGACAAGCAGAGAAAAAGATACTTAAACAAAAGGAAAAACTACATTTAGAAAACCAGCTACAGGAGCTAGAAAGGCTCAATTCACAAAGCGAAGCGCGAAAATTTTATAAAAATGTGAACCACAATAGAAAAAAATTTAAACCTAGAATAACCATAATAAAAAGTAAGGAAGCCGAAATTATCAATGAGCCGGATCAAATAGTGGAGAGATGGGCGGAGAATTTTGCTGAGAAATTATAGGCAACAAAGAAGTGACTGACATAAATGAACACAGTGGAGACGTAAACGATGAGAGGGAGAAAAATAAAATATCAACAGAAAAAGAAGTTGCCAAGGCAATAAAAAGGTTAAAAAACAACAAATCCCCTAGAGAAGATGGCAGACTCCCTGAGCTGTTCAAGTATGGAGCAAACGCCCTAAAAAAATACATAATAAAACTTGTTGCATCCATTTGAAGAGAAGGAAAACTCCTAGATAGTTGGAATGTAAGTAATATAATACCTATTCACAAGGTAGGGGATCCACTAATATGTGACAACTATCGAGGCATTACCCTCCTAAATACGGCTTACAAAGTACCGGCTTATATACTTTATGATCGTTTACTAGTATATACTGAAGAAAAAATAGGCAAATACCAATCTGGATTCCGAAAAGAAAGGACAACAATTGATCAGATTTTCCTTCTCAGACAAACCTTAGAAAGGACATATGAATATGGAATTGATACCCATCACCTCTTCATAGATTTTAAAAGTGCTTATGACAGTGTAGACAGAAGCGCACTTTATAATGCCATGGCAGAGCTAGATATTCCGTCGCATCTAATAACATTGGTAAACGCAACTCTTTCGAAAGTTGAGTGCAAAGTCAAGATACAAAACAGAGTGTCAGGTCTTTTCAAACACATACTGGATTACGCCAGGGAGACAGTCTATCGTGTCTATTGTTTGACATCGCGCTAGAAAGAGCCATAGAGAAATCGGACATAACAACCAGAGGTACGATCATCAATAGAAGTGTACAGATATTGGCCTACGCAGATGACATTGACATAGTGACATGGACAAAACGAGAACTGATACAGGCTTTTGAAACATTAGAAAAATCCGCGAAGACAATGGGACTGCAGGTTAACGTAAGATCTGGTAACAGAAGCACACACATTCGAAGGGGTCTCAGAGTTTATATATCTTGGAACACAACTAAATAACAGCAACTTAGTAAGCGTAGAAATTAAGAGAAGAATCCACCTGACAAACAAAGCTTACTTTGGACTAAAGCAGTTCTTAACATCACACATAATTAGCAGAAAAACCAAGATACTAATATATAAAACTCTTATTAAACATGTTCTGACATACGCGTCAGAGACATTGATTATGATAAAAAGCGACGAAGAACTGTTAGGCCACTTTGAAAGACGAATGCTTAGACACATATACGGAGGAGTACAAGAAAGCGGGATATGGTGCAGGCGCTACAATTTTGAGTTGTATCAGTGCTATAAAAAAGTCAACATCGTCTAGTCTATTAGAATTAATAGACTAAGTTGGCTAGGACACCTTGAAAGAATGGACACTGGAGACCCCCAAAGATAGATATTCTATCAAGAGCCAGTAGGAACCAGGAAGAGAGGCAGGCCAAGATCTAGATTAAGAATTCAAGTCGAAGATGACTTCAGGAATCTAGGGGTCAGAAATTGGAAAGCCAGGACGAAAGATAAGGGGCAATGGAGACTAATTCTTAAACAATCCAAGACCCACCCAGGGAGGTAGAGAAAAAGATGATGATGATGAATATGTAATATATGATTCCCTATTATGTTGGCATTCACTTTTGTCTATATTACTTTGTTGATAGCTTTTATAAATGAATGCATCGTCGTTATTCCTTTCTTAGAATATAAAACCACAGAAAAGAACTTAAAATCTGTCGTTGTGCAATGAAAGTGGTCATATGACTAGATCTTTTATGACTCGACTACTATTTAGGCCATCTCTCTCTCTCTCCAATGACGATACAGCCCAAATCGAGCATTTGCCATCTCCAAACTATGCCTCCCGCGCTTTCTTCTCCAGGTTCTTATGTCAAACAAATTTTGCGCGTCCGTTGCCACTTCACCCTCCCACCTTTTCCGTGGTCTTTTCAAAATTAATCTTTGTTTTTCTTTATTGTTGTTCTTTGAGTTTCTAGTTGTTCTGTTCCACCTGAGCTTACAACTTACAATACAACTCCCAAATATGTGAAACTTTTTACAGTTTTAATATCGTTCTCTAATTCCACTGTGCATGTGTTTCCCTTAGCTCTTGCTGTGTTACCTTTTTTGTCTTTTGAATATTGATTTCTAGTGCGGTCTCTTTTGTCCCTGTTTTTAATCGTGAATATACTTTTGCCGCCTCTTTCGTTTTGCGGGACATAATGCTGATGTCATATATATAGGCGGCAATATATATATATATATATATAATATATATATATTATATATATATATATATATATATATATATATATATATATATATATATTATATATATATATATATATATTATATATAGCAAAAAATACGACCGTTGATTAAATTTTAAAAATATTCAATAGTTGAATAGCAGAGGTTGTATCGGTCAATAATAGGCAAATGAAAGTCGTCAGCTACTTCATTGATTTAATTGAATACGTTTCGCTTTTTGTTTTCAAAAGCATCATCAGTTCACTACAAATGCAAATAAAACGATTTAAAATATAAGTAAATAACCAAAAGGGTTCATACTTACAAAAGCAATTTGTAGGTTTTTTTAAAGATGTTAAAAACACTCTACGATAACTTAACATTAAAAAACTTAAAAACTAAACGATAGAATCGAAACAAAAACACACAAGACAAAACTGAAAGAGCACTATTGTTTATTTAATTTTTACCGATGGCTTCATCTCAATGTGGGTGTAAGCTCTTTCGAAGATCCAACACAATAATCTCTTGGATTGTTTTCTATCGGTTGCAGGCTGTCATATTTGCACATGTGGCAAGTGTCGTACATATGTTTCTTTGGAAAGCAGTGAGGTACAATTATTAAAAAAGTTAGTAAACAGAACGGGGACAGCCCTATTTTTCAAAAAGGAATATTTTTTTTTCTCTTTTTTTTTCTCTTCCTCCTCGCTTGTCTTTAAAAAACAAACAAACAAACAAACAAAAAAAAAACAAAAAAAAATATTTTAAAAATAGGGAAAGAAGAAGGGGAATGAAGTTATTATCTTGTAAGTGTTTTTTTATATATATATACAGGGTGGTGAATCGTCAAACGGTCCATAGGAAACTCAATGGGAAATTCTAAATTGTTGAATTCCTGCTTCCCTAATTATTTTTACACCCAAAGTCATGGGAAACTATTTGTAGAGGACTCAAATATGTATCGAAAACAACTGTTAAAATTATTCTACGACTTAAAGGTATTCCAAAATTTTGCTAAAATATAATACATTTTTCTGTGAAAAAATGTGTATTACGTGTTGCGTTTTGTCATATTATTGTTTCTGATATTTGACAATATTTAAATCAATTATATTACATTTATCTATGATTTAAATGGCCAAAATTTTGTGATTTATTGTTAAAAAAAAATTAAGTTGATTAAAAAATGTACTCAGTTGAGGAGAAAAAAGCAATAATAAAAATTTTTTATTCATGTTTTATTATAACACTTGTTATAGTTTTATGTTTATAAATTATCATATATTATTATTAGAAATAAAGATCACAGTAACAGTATATTGGAATTCATTGAATTGTTGTATAACTTAACATGGAATTAAATTTTAGTGAATTAGAATATCTTACGTTAAATAAAGATCCGGTAGTGGCAGGAAAAGGTTCGCGCTATTGCCTGAGTACAACATTATGCGATTTTTCGTCAACTGAGTACATTTATATTGATCGATTTGTAAACAATATAATTTATTGTTCACAAAGTAATAATGTTCATTAGTAGTAGTATTTAGTAAAACTCATTGTTTATAATTTAATCATAAAATAAAAAAATTGACAATTCAAATTGTCAAACATCTGACATAAATATCATAGATAAATAATATAATAGTAGAAATAGATAGGCAACTCAATGTATAAATTTCGTTCATTAGGCCCCTTGCGGCTGGGGTCAATACTAATCATCTTTTGGCGGCAAATTCGAATGAACACCCCTTACATACATACCCTTTAGCGCCTCTTGTGGGCTATTTCGTTACTAATTAAAATTTATTGGAATATAAGGATATAAGATGCACAATTTTTTCTAGATATACGTATATTTATTTGTTGTTTAAGATAAAACAGTTATAAAATAATTACATAATATTTATTACACATATTTGCAGAAGTTAAATACTATTATTTTTGGCTTTCTGACAACTTACTATCATTCTTTTTGTAATTTTTCCATGATTTGTACACAACGAACAATACAATAATTCACTATGTTTAGTTTTGTTACTAGCACAACACAAAAATTCTTTGCTACAATAGGTAACTCAAAATAAACTTTAAAAATTAAGTAACCAAATTTAAATTAAAATTACTAAGAATAAATGCAAACGAAAGTTAAAGATAATAAAATAAAATTGAAAACTTGTAAACAAACGGAAGATCTGTCATTAATTTGGATTGACAGAATTGACATTGCTTCGTTTGATTATAGTTTCGTTCGCGGTACGAATCCTGGACGTGTTCAGGATGCGTTTAGATTCCTCCTAGTAATCGGGTTGTACGCAAGCGCGGTTCATAACCAGTTCAGGATTGATTTACACCGCGAACGAATTTTGAACAATTTTCAGTTCTGATACGGAACAACCCGAAGGTGCAGTAGACTCGGCGGAAATTGTTCACGCATCTGGTTTGCGCATTGCTAGCGGCCATATTTTATTTAGATTAGAGCACACTTTAGTCTAGTTTTAGAGATGAGCATTGTTAGAAAAATAACAGAATGTCTCGAATAAACAATAAACCGTTTAAAGTTCAGAGTGACAATCACCAGAATAATAAAAATGTTCCATGTTCCTATTTTGAAATTTCTAGTGTTTCTATTGCGCATGTACGAACTCCGAGTTCTCTTCAAATCCCAAGGATCGGTTGAACTGGTTCTGAACTGCAAGTTCTGTTACCGCGAACGACAAGATTCCGGACTAGCAGTCCCTGTCAGTCCAGAACTTGATCAGCGCGAACGCTCATTTTTACACTGCGCATGCGAAGTAATCCAGAACGAGTCCAGGATTCGTACCGCGAACGAAACTTATGTTATTTGGTTTATGATTGGTTAAAGCACAGAATAATAAACAATCAGAAGGGCCACTCTCAGATGCCGCCTTTGAAGTTTTTCAGCACGCGCGCCATGTTTTAGGAGGACACAGACATATGATTTGTGTGGTTATGTAATTGTTTATATTTATGTTTAATTATATTATATTTATGTTATTATATTTAACAATGTTAATATAATTGTATAGTATGTCTATGATTGCCGTAAGTCAAATAAACCTGGTTAATTTTTCCATGCACACCACATAAACAACACTAATTTCTTTAAAATCCTCCTAAAACATGGCGGAACGTCTGCGCGGAGGAGATGCGCGTACTTAATTTTCTGTGGAGAGTGGGTATTCTGTTTGTTTATTATTCTGTGGTTAAAGTCTTCGTGAGAGAGATAGGCTGTCATTTCTCTTTATTAACTCGCTGGGGTCAAAGTGATGGGGGAATGAACCAAGTCGTTCATATAAGATTCCAGGCCATGCATAAATATGATAAAACACAAACGTAATAATATATATATTCTTGCATTACGTGTGGCCTAACTTTTAGGGGTGGCCTGAAAAATGTATTATATTTTAGCAAAATTTTGGAATACGTTTAAGTCGTAGAATAATTTTAACAGTTGTTTTCGATACATATTTGAGTCCTCTACAAATAGTTTCCCATGACTTTTGGTGTAAAATAATTAGGGAAGCAGGAATTCAACAATTTAGAATTTACCATTGAGTTTCCTATGGTCCGTTTGACGATTCACCACCCGGTATATATATATATATATATATATATATATATATATATATATATATATATTATTTGTTATGTATGATGAGAGAGTGATATATCTGGCTCAAGTTGTCGATGTCGGTTCTTTTATTTAGGGATGATGGATGTTTAAGAATTTGACACATTTCAAGAATAGAACGCTAATGATAATTTTTTTGTTTGCACAGTATTTTGGTATTAGTGAAGTCGATACTGTGTTTGGTTGAAATGGCATGTTGTGCAAGGGCACAGGATGGTTTTGAAATCCTAATGTCGCTTTTGTGGGACGTTAGTCGACCTTGAAGAGAACGGCTGGTCTGGCCAATGTAGCAGGAGTTGCACTCCGCACAGGGTACATGATAGACGACGTTAGTTTGTTCTAGAGGGGCCAATGGAGTTTTTGTCTTAGAAAATAACTTTCCTACGGTTCTAGTGTTTTTTAAAGCTATTTTGACAGGTAAGTTTTGGAAAAGTTTGATTAGCTTGTTCGTGATTTGTGGGAAGTACGGGAGCGAAGCATATTTTATGGTTTGTTCAGGAGTGAGAGGGGACTCATTCATTTGTATTCTGTTAGAAATGGACGCTAATGTTAGCCCGTTGGGTGTTTCAGTGATGGACTGCCCATAGCTTTTGGAATATAGAAATTTATTGATAATGGATGCCGGATAGGAGTTATCTATGAGAATAGACTTCAGTAGATTGAGAGATTCTTCTTTGTAAAGCGGATGTGTCAACATGTGTACTCTAAGGCCCTGGGTTGTACCAGGTTAAGTTTATATCTGATTGGATGTGTCGAATGGTAGTTTAAGAAACGGTTGCTAGCCATTTCTTTTCTGTACCAGGTAGTGACTAATCTGTTATCTGGAGTGCGAATAATTCGCATATCTAAAAACGAGATACTGTTCTCAACCTCCAATTCACATGTAAATTGTAGTGAGGATCAAAGCAGTTAAAAACTGATAAAGTGTCGTCCGTCTTGTTCGACGGGGTTGCTAAAATCAGATCGTCGACATACCGTTTTACAAAGTGAACCTGGAAATCTATTTTTGGTTACTTTTGTAACCCTTTTGGTTATTTACTTATATTTTAAATCGTTTTATTTGTATTTGTAGTGAACTGATGATGCTTTTGAAAACAAAAAGCGAAACGTATTCAATTAAATCAATGAAGTAGCTGACGACTTTCATTTGCCTATTATTGACCGATACAACCTCTGCTATTCAACTATTGAATATTTTTTAAATATATATATATATATATATATATATATATATATATATATATATATATATTGATTTGTTTGTTAAGAGGTTAGCTCTTCCTGTCCTGTACTATCAGTTAAGGTCCTTGATTGGTCAATTAACAAGGCAGAATAACATACTTTATATAACATAAACTTTTAGATTATAAAAGACCGACTAAAATTACTATCTCTATTGCAAAAATATTAAGAGTCAGTATTATAATAAAAGCGGTTTTTGTGCTTTTATATTCTATTCGTCCCCATCTTCAGTATGATATTCTTCATCCACGATATTCTTGGACGAGTTGGAAGACTTTCTATTCTTCTCTTCTACTTGTCTAGTTTGTCTTGTACCTTTTCGAATTCCGAAAAATTTCATCATTGTTTTCATAAAATCTGTGGACTAGTTTAACCAGGTAATGTTACGTTAATAAAGATAGGCCAAAGTAAATGTCGTTGTAATACGTATCTAGTAGAGATAATGATTAGATTTTGCATATTCTTGTTTTTAAGAACTTGTGATTTTGATTCAATTTTAAAAAATGTATAATATATAAAACATTGTACTTTACTTTAACTATTTTATTTGTTTTTTTTTTAGATAAAGAGCTTGAAATACCCGTAATTGACAACGAAGAAATAATACCAGTAATCACGGTGGTTCTAATAAGATCCAAATTGCAATATTCTGTTAGTAATTTATATTACATAAAGCAATTTGGTAAACAATTTCTCAAGGACAATAATAAACAGTGAGTAAATCCCCGATGGTTATTCCATTCGTAGCAGTAGTATTCTTTTAAGTTTTCATCAAGCAAATTAATTAGGACCAAACAAGCTTTATCCTACTTTTTTCTTCAAGCAATTCTGCTTATTTGTTTGCGAATTAATAGCTCTATAAAAAGATTAGGTATAACTTCTTGTTTTACACATTCGATTTTTCTAGGATTTGATAATTATCTTACTATTTTGCCCACTAGAATCTCCTCCATTCCATCAACGTGATTTTTCCAAACTTTTTATTTAGTAGATATTAAATAATTTAGTAAGGTATTTAACAGATTGATACCTTTGTAGTTTATAGAATAATAATAGGGGAGAAGGGGGCTCCTTCAGACAGGGGGCAGTTTCAGACATTGATATTGTGGGTAAATTTAAGGACTCGGGTTGGCAACACTGACGTGAAAACATTCCGTTACTACTCACACTGTTGTAGTTTATTCTGTAGAACCATGGTACAATGAACACACTGTAGAACAGTGCAGTAAAGGGTTCATGTCATAAAGTGAAAAGTTAGTTTTTGGTGGTTGAAAGTCAAATTTTTGGATTGAAGGTAAGATGAGTTTTTTATTAGAAGATAAGACAGGATAATTAACATTGCTACCAGTTTTAAGTCCATTTATTGTTATATAACCTGTACTATTCACATTACTGATGTTACTCTTAGGTTATATTTTTACATTTAGTCTGGACACATCGAGTGGGGCACCTTCAGACAAAATGGTATGGGGCACTATCAGATAAACGCAATGAAAAATAGAACCTTTTTTGAAATAACGTGCTAACGTGAAAATTATATATATATATATATATATATATATATATATATATATATATACATATATATATATATATATATATATATATATATATATATATATAAACATATATATATATATATATATATATATATATATATATATATATATATATATATATTATTTAGTTATTTAGTTATATATAGTTTATTTATATACAGTTTATAATTAGTTATTTAAAAAGTCTTTCTCTTTGTTGCAGATTGTCTGAAGATGCTGAAATAGGAAGAAAGAAAAAACAAAACAAAAATTGGATGTGGAATCTATGAAAGAATGTGTAGCGGCCATCCTAGATGGTTAATCGATAAGAAATGCTACTAAAAGATTTGGATTAAAATATCAAAATGTTGGTATGTACATTAATAAGTTTAGGTATAACCCAGATTAAATGGGCAAATGTAATGGGCAACGTCCTTAAGGATATAGCACCGTAAGAAGATAACCCAGATGGCGAACATGATATGAAAGTAAGAAAGATACTAGAAAAGTTTTTACTGACAAACATGAAGACGACCTTGAGGCATATTTAATTAAATGCTCAAAAATGTTTTATGGTCTTAACAATCTAGAAACTCGAAAACTTGCACATGAGATGGTCAAAATAAACAATATTGACTGTCCTAAAAACTGGGAAGCTGCAAGAATGGCAGGAAAGGAGATTGGCTATACCGTTTTATGAAACGCCACACAAGATTATTTCTCCGTGCTGCTGAAGGATGCAGTATTGCACGTATATTTCCTTTAACAAACATAACGTGAATGCTTTTTTAATAATTATAAAAAATTAATCAAAAGACACCCAGAACTCTGTGACTCATCCAGGATTTGGAATATGGATGAATTTGAAACTGAAAAACTGAAACTAACCAAGAACCTTCTCGTGTGATTTCACAAAAAGGCTAAAAACAAGTAGCAACTGCTGTAAGTGGTGAGAGAGGAACTCTGGTTACTACAGTTTTGTTTATAAATGCAGTTGGAAATACAAGGAAGAATCACATGATAAATGGATCACCGATCGCGACCTTTGGTTTGGCTGATCAGTCAGGTTGGATGACCACTTCCATTTTCGTTCATGTGATGTAGCACTTAATAAAATGTTTAAGTTCCTCTGAAAACAAAAGAATGCTAATTTGCGACAATCATGAGAGCCACTGGTCAATTGAGGCAAAAGAACTAGCAAGAGCTAATGGCGTGCACATTCTAACAGTTCCACCCCATTGTACCCATATCATGCAACCACTGGATGTGGGATTGATGAAACGTTTTAAAACCTATTATAATGCTGCAATTGATTCATGGTTGAAGTCTTACCCAGGCCAACGTTTTGGAATCTATCACGTGGCCGCATGTGTTGGTGGAATAGCATATGGCCGTGCCATGTTACTACAGAGCATTATAAATTCTTAAAAAAAAAAACAGAAATATTTCCAGTTGACATGCACATTTTATCGATGATATGTTTGCTCCAAGTTTGGTCAGTGAGAGACCTAATCCTCCAGACGAAACTCTTCCTGACGAACCTCTAATATGCCAACTAACTGCAAGTCTACCAACTTTAGAATCTGAAAAACCACACTCATCTCCCCAAATTTCAAGCGAAAACTTTCAGCAACCAATAGACACTCCATTAACATCAAGCTGCCAAAACTCTACGCCTATGCCCTCTCAACAGCCTGGCTGTTATTTAAGTCCTGAGGAGATATGAAGATATCCAAAATCGAAACTCAATACTAGCTCCAAGAAACCAAGAGAAAATGGGCTGACACCCCAGAAAGCTTCTTCTGACAGAAAAACAGATCAATAAAAAATAAAGAAAACCACCAACTCTGATGTTGAACGTACTAAATCTACGAAAAGAAAACTACCTTTTTGTGTTGTATTGGCAACTCTGCAGTGCGATTACGTCACAATCAGCTGAGAAAAAGCTCAGGAATACAGACGCGACGATGACCTATTTAATGTATATTGTTATTTGCATTACGTTTTGGAGTGATCATTAAAGTCGGTAGTATTTCCTAGACTGTGTTTATTATTTACAACCGGTCCGATACATATTATTTGGCGACGAGGATGGGATCCGTGTGTGTGCCAGTTTAAGTGCATTATTTCGTCCCGGTGATAAATAAAGCAAATTGTGTGCAAGATGGCGGCATTCGGAAACATCGTACAGTTTAACGTGGGTGACTCCAAAGGTTGGGAATCATACGTCGAGCGTATGGATTTTTTCTTCTTGGCAAATAACATTACAGACCCTGATAGGAAAAAAGCTACATTTTTAAGTTTGTGCGGTCCAAATACATATGAGATTATTAGATCTTTGGTCGCGCCGTCCAAAGTGTCTGATAAAACTTATGACCAAATCATAGTTGAGTTAAAAAAGCATTTTTCTCCAAAAACGTCGGAAATTGTGTGCAGGTTTAAGTTCTATCTTCGGAATCAACAGACTGGTGAAACAATATCTGTGTATCTGAAGGAATTACGAAAATTGGCAGAACCCTGTGGTTTCGGAACTAGCCTTGACATAATGCTACGTAACCGACTCGTTTGTGATATTATCGACGAATCGCTACAGCAAAAGTTGCTAGCCACAGATAAGTTAAAACTTAAGGACGCGCAAGACCTGTGCCCTGCACACGAGGTGGCCGTGGAAAGTTTGGCAGGGCTACGAGAAAGTGAGTCGAGCGCAGATGTAAACGCGGTAAGTTTTCGTAAAAATCAACCGGGCCAGTTCAAACAACAATTAGCTAATCGCGAAAGGAAGAAATGTTTTTTTCGGTGCGAAAAAGAACATTCTTCGGAAACTTGTGAACACATTAAATCAACCTGTGCATATTGCAGGAAAGTTGGACATATCGAAATAGCTTGTTTCGCAAAAAAGAAGAACCAAAATCACAAACGCAAAGTACATCAGACTACCGTGGAATCTACGTCCAATACCGAGCCGGTTTCGGGGAACACTCAGAGTGTTCCCCGTGTTTTTATCAAAGTAGTGACTATGAATTTACGTTAAATAACGTGACGTATGATACCATTACCGGTAAATATTTAGTAGATGTGCTACTCAATGACCAAAAAGTGAAAATGGAGGTTTACTCGGGCGCGAGTTATTCAGTGATAAGCAAATCAACCTACCATGAAATATTTAGTGAAAATCGACCTAAAATAGATAAATCCAGTGTTATTTTAAGGGACTATCAAAACACAGTGATACCCACACTGGGTAAGTGTCAAGTGGAGGTAAAGAGAGGTCCAAGGTCAGCGACACTTCCTCTCATAGTCACGTAAGGAAATCGTGCCAGTTTACTCGGAAGAAACTGGTTTGATAGTTTAGGTTTAACCATAGCTGGGGTAAGTCAAATTTTATCAATGATAAATTATACAGAAGAATACCCAGATGTATTGAATACAGATTTGGGGTCTTACCGGGGTCCCCCAGTAAGTTTTTCGTTAAACAAAAATGTAAAGCCGATTATGTGTAAAGCTCGTAAAGTTCCATTTGCGCTAAAAGATAAAATCGAAGTTGAACTTGATAGGCTTATTGCGAAAGGGGTTTTAGAGCCGATTACGCACCCAAAATGGTGCACCCCAATTGTGACTGTTTGCAAAGAAAACGGAGAGGTTAGGATTTGTGGTGACTACAAATCCACATTGAATTTAGCGTTAAATCCGGAACCTTATTCAGTGCCATTGGTACAGGGTATCTTATCCACACTTGCGGGCGGTAAAGTTTTTGCAAAACTGGACATGGCGCAAGCTTATCTGCAGTTAAGTGTCAACCGCGAAGCTGCTGAAGCACAAACAATAATTACGCATAAAGGGGCTTTTAAATGCAATCGTTTACAGTTCGGTATATCAGTGGCTCCACAAATTTTTCAAAAATTCATAGACACTCGATTAACGGGTATTCCTGGTGTACTGCCTTATTACGATGACATTTTAATAGTTGGTAGCTCAGAAATAGACTTGGATTCAAAAGTGCGCGTGGTATTATCGCGTTTCCAGGAAGACGGACTGCGTTTGCGCAAAGAAAAGTGCGTTTTTCGAACAAAAACTATAGAGTTTCTTGGTTTTCAAATTAGTGAAGACGGTTTACGACCCACTAAAAACAAAATCGCGGCCCTAACTAATGCGCCTGCGCCAACCAATAAAACCGAGTTGCAAGCTTTTCTTGGACTTTTAAATATTTATCATGTTTTTCTAAAGGACAAAGCAACAATTGCGAGTCCGTTACATGCACTGCTCCGAAAAGACGTTCCCTGGCAGTGGCGTTTTATAGAACAAAAAGCTTTTGATTTATTAAAAGAAATTTTAGCGAAAGAACCTGTGTTAGGGCATTACAATGAATAAAAAGATTTATTTTTGACGTGTGATGCCAGCCCTTACGGGTAGGTTGTGTGCTTAGTCAACGTGATGATGAGGGACGTGAATATCCAGTGGCGTACCATAGTCGTACTCTATCATCTACTGAACGAAATTTCTCCCAAATCGACAAGGAAGCACTGGCCATAATATCGGGCATTAAAAAATTTCACGAATATGTATATGGCGGGAAAATAGGCATAAGAACGGACTATAAACCATTGTTGGGTATTTTTAATCCGAAAAAGGCTGTTCCAGAGATACTGTCACCCAGAATGCTTAGATGGGCTCTTATGTTATCTGCTTATGATTATGAATTATGTTACGTACCAGGTTCAAAAATTCAGAATGCAGATGCTCTTAGCAGATTGCCACAAAAGGTACATGCGCAAGAACCACCAAGCTTAGATGACGTTTTGATGCTTAAGAACATCCCAGAAAAACTAATATGTGCCAAAGACATTGCCAATGAGACTAAGAAAGACCCAGTGTTATCTAAAGTTTTGCAGTGGGCTTGGAAAGGTTGGCCTGATGAGAAAATTAAATTTTCAGACGAATATACTCCTTATCTACTACGTAAAAACGAAATTAGCTGTTATCAAGACTGCCTTTTATGGGGTACAAGAGTAATAGTTCCGCTTGGAGGGAGGAAAACAATACTGAATTTGCTACACTCAGCACACTCCGGAGTCGTAAAAATGAAGTCACTGGCACGCTCATATGTTTGGTGGCCAAATCTCGACAAACAAATCGAACACCTAGTAAATACTTGCAGCGAGTGCCAGGAGTCTAGAAACATGCCAAAAAAGGCTCAAATCCATCCGTGGGAGTGGGCCAGAGCTCCATGGACAAGAATACACCTCGATTTTGCCGGTCCATTTAAAGGCAAAATGTTTCTGATTATCATAGACTCGTACGTGAAGTGGCTGGAGGTTAAAATCGTTCCAAATACCTCTAGTGTGGTGACTATAGATGTATTACGTGGTTTATTTGCCCCTCACGGCATCCCAGATGTCGTCGTATCTGATAGTGGAACTTGTTTTACGTCGGCTGAGCTCCAAGATTTTTTAAAGAGAAACCTTATTAGACAAGCATTGGTTGCACCATACCACCCAAGTAGTAATGGGCAAGCGGAACGCATGCCCATTACTACTTGGATGTACCATGTACCATGGTACAAAATGTAAAAAATGCACTAAAAAAATGACAGATAGTAATGAAGAAACTAAAATACAGTTAGCATTGCACAGATATCTCCTTACTCAGCACATTACACCCCATTGCACAACAGGGAGATGCCCATCAGAAATATTAATGGGGCGAAAATTGGGCTCATTATTTGATCGTTTACAGCCCGACTTTCGAAAATTAGAAAAGAGATGTTATCTAAGCAAGAGATGAACGATTCTTACAAAACAGTACCCAGATGTTTTCAAGGAAACGACACTGTATTTGCAAGGTCATTTGCTCCAGGTGGTCAAAAGTGGCTTCCTTCCAAAATAATTGAAACCACTGGACCGTTAACTGAAAAAATACAAACCCCCGATGGTAAAATTGTACGTCGTCATTCTGACCAAATCAGAACCCGTGTGTGTGACCAAGAAACAACAGACGATGTTACACCGTTAACCTCGATGGAAAAAAATTACTCGTAGCTCCGCAACCGTTGTTTCTGCATCCAAATGAATTTGTGGACCCAGAACCAGAAATTGTAGAGCAGACCGCTGAAGTTAAAAAGCCACCTGCTCGAATAAGAAAACGTCCAAGGTATTTGGAGGACTATGATGAGTAGATTCATCCAGGAGGGAGGAGTGTGATGTATTGGCAACCCTGCAGTGCGGTTACGTCACAATCAGCTGAGAAAAAACTCAGGAATACAGACACGACGATGACCCATTTAATGTATATTGTTATTTGCATTACGTTTGGGAGTGATCATTAAAGTCGGTAGTATTACCTATACTGTGTTTATTATTTACAACCGGTCTCATTCTTCTCATTTTCAACCATTTTGAAAATGAGAAGAATGAGAAGACATCCTATGATGAAAATGGCAAAAACTCTGATGATAAAGTATTAGAAGAACCACAGCAAAATTTTGACAGGAGAGAATCGAAAATTGAAGATTTTGAGCTGGTTAAATTTGGGTCTGTAAAACAAAAAATGTGTACTATGTTGGGAGAACCATTGATGAATAGGATGGGGATGTTGAAATTTAATTTTTGAGAATGTCATCTAAAGTAAATTATAAATTGTTCCACCCCATCGTACCAGATATCTCTAGTGCTTCTTTATCAGAAATTGTAGCCCTTTTGCTAACTCCTTCTGAGCAGGGTACAAGGCGACAGAAATAATTATTGTCTTTTTCAGTTTCATGGGAAAACTTCAATATACATTAGGGGTTTGATTAAGTATTATAATATAGTTTTAAATATTGTAATAAATAATTTCTAAAACATTTATATGAGGTTGTCATTTTTCCAATTGTGTCTAAAGCTGCCCCATTCTCCGTCTGAAGGTGCGTCCAGGTGGGGGCACCTTCAGATGTTTTTGAAAAAGAGCGGTTTTAATTATTGTTTACAAGTATAGGGTTTAATATTAAAAGCATATAACAGTGAAAGTTGAATGTAAATGTATTTTATGAATATTTTCTTTTTTTATTTGGTGAGGTATGAGAGTGATATGATAGTTCATTTTTTTATGTCTTACCTAAGTGGCCCCACTCTCCCCTACTTAGATTGGATAGATAGATTAAATAGATAAACCAGCAGAAAAAGGCAAGATCTATAAGAAATATAAAATTTACAACCAGAAAATATTTAGTGATACAATTAAATATAATAACAAATATTAACAGTACATTGTCAATTAATAAATAGATTTTAAATACCTACTTACTTTATTCTTAGCAGCAGCCAAGAAGACTACTTTATTTTTGTTATTTAATGTTCCCATTATAAAACTATATTCGTACTAGATATTACTGATAACTACAACATTAATACATTTTTTTTTCAGACACATATTTGAAACCTTCGAATATGCCATACAAAGCTTATTGAAAATCGACTACAAGCAACTAACAAGTTGTTCCCAAGATAACTTTCTAAATATTGATCACTTAGAAGCAATAAAAAGAATCACTGAAATAAACACTAATCCGAACAACGGTAAACACGTCACGAAAGCTAAAGTTAGCCTTAATGAGGAAAATCAAAAAAGAGCTTTGGAGCTAATCCTTCAATCAACCACAGCAGATGTAAATGGTTAGTTTGTGATAGATCATGAATGAAATGAAAGATTACAATAATATAATTGTCAAGATTTAATATATCAGGATATACTTAAAGTGAAGATACGATGAAGATACTATATGTTGTATACTGTATGATGGTTTTCTAAATGAAAAATACTGTAAAAGATGGTTTCTTATGCTAAGCACACAAAACTTCTGTTATAATTTGTTATTTTGTGTAATATTAACAAAAAAAACTTGTATTTGTAAAATAAAATAAAGTGTTTAATTTAAAGCTTTTATTTTATTGCCTATTTAGCTTTTTGATACCTGATGACAGATTAAGAAATAAAATATGTAATGCTAGTTGTCAACCTTCAGGCGAAAACACATGGAGAAGAAATAAAAATACGAAATTATACAAAATTGGGTCAATTATAACTTAATATATTATATAGTTTAATAATTTTATTTTTATAATACGTACGTAATGTATGTTATATAAACTAAGTAACTGTCTAATATTCCAAATTAAAAGTGCAGAATAAGTTTAGTTCGGCTTTCCACAAAAATGTCCTAATTTAAAAATTTACGTTTGAAGACCAAACGAGAACAAAGTAAAGTAGATTACTTAAACATAATTGGTTAAAAAAGTCCCATTATTTAGATACAAATTCTAGTAAAATAAATTACCAGAGGAAGAAATTGGAGAAACAACTAATACTCCCAATATAAGATTTATCTAGATTCCTAAGATTTCTTAGCTAACCGAAATTAATCACTTTTCAGTAAGAAATATAGTGATATATACCATTTATCAATTCATACAGAATAAGATTAAGCAATAAATCAAGTATAATGTACGTATATATGTACCACGTACGTAATAAAAACAGAAAAGCACTATAACATCATTCAAAGAAACTCTTGGAAACATTGCAATAAAGTAAACGTATATCTCTTAAAATGTTAGAGCCCTTTTAAACGTTTTCCACTAATAACTTGACGCTAATAATTATCAGATAATTAAGAAAATTAAATTGTAGCAATAATATCATGTCATATATTTTTCATGAATACGATTTTAAATCGCTGGAGCGTCTATAGAAATTCCCTTTTCCCTTAAAAGAGCTGAACATAAAAAATATCTGTAAGTTTTAGTCGTTCTTCATAGATGGCAGAATAGTAAATTCTGTTAAAAATAAATTAGCGTTTCGGACGAAATTATGGTACAGTTTAAATAAATAAAGTTATGTAATTTAGAATTATTGGGACTCTATTCGATTTTATGCTAGATATTTCAGTTAATATATATTATATATTTAATATATTATTAAAATAGAATGTTATTTATTAAGACAATTGACGTTTTTGACAGTTATCTGGCATGCACGTATTTCTACTTTACCGACCAACCTTTTGTAATGTCGTATTTGGTTTTGCGCTTTTTGTACTAAGAATTTGTGAGCGAGCTGTTGAATTAGGTGTTTTATCCGCTATATTAAGGATATACAGTAAGAAAAACCTTATTTTCTTAAGTAGTATAAATTATAGATACTTATTTTCTTCACACACACCGCTATGTTTACCAAAAGCCAAACATTCAGATTTTAGGGTTAAACATATCCAAATATTTTTGTCACATGAAATTTCATTACAAACTCCTTATAAGCATGGTTTTCTTATTTGAAAACATTGTTTTACTTGTAAAGGTTGATCAGCCGATGTTATAAGCACTTTTTTGATTAGGCAGTTTGTTTTGTTTTGAATAACTGAAATGTATAAACTTCTATTTTTTGCACTCATCAACAGAATAAGAATGTGATTTTCTTAGAGGTACTTTATAGAACAGACAATTTTAGCAATTCTTTTGTCATACAAATTGGGGGGACACTGACTGTTGTCAATATTGTTCTAAATACTCAGTTGCTTACATGCTTGAGACATGTGTTTGTTAATTTTGTGATATATTAAAATTCATTGGTTAGTTTATTCAATTAAATAAACACTTTGTAGACATAAACAATAATGTGGATATGTTTACTCTTTAAAACTGTATTTCTAAGAACCTTATTTTATTTTTTAGAAGCACAAATTTTTCAAAATAAAAATTTATAATTTTAAATAATATGTAGAAAATAATACTGTTCTAGTGCCTATAGAATGTGAAATTAGGTACTATTTCTTGTTTTTGTATAACGAAATACATAAAAATGTTTTATTTATCATTAATTTGAAATTCCATACAATTTTCATCATTTTCTAATATTATAATTAGGACTATGTTTTTTTAATAAATTTATGTATAACAAAGGCAAAAATTAATGCTACTCAATTTTACATTATTTTAAATCTTTATGATATTATTTAATTGGTTGTAACTGAAATATACAAACATGTATTGTATTAGTTTTCGTGCATCTTAGCCATATCAAGTTTAACTAAGAGATAAAAAAAATGAATAAACTATACAAAGAAAACACTTAGGGAAACACAAGTAGAATTAGGTCCGTACAGGTAAAAAATTCATAAAATTAATTTGTAGTACTATAAGGAAACAGTTATTTTTACATATTGTATAGTGTGTACAATATTGTGATAGTCAGTTTTCAAAAGTAAACAAACCTAAAAATCAGTAATAGTTCCTTGAATAAATGTCTAGAATAATCAATAATTTATCCATGGTGTCAGGTTATTATTTCTTAAAACTTATACATATTATATAAACTAAAACATATATACAGTATATTCTATGTATATATACATGGAATATACCGTATACATGTATACTATATACATGTATATATAAGACTCTTTTTATATGAAAACAGTCGTATATTCATGGAATAGACTATATGTGTAGTATTTGCATTACCTTAAAGCATTTATCTGTTGACACAATGGAATTCCAAGTTTCATTAAAAGATGATATTTACAAAACCTGTTTAATTTAATTTATTCTGTCTTATTAAAGGCTTTTTAACTGCTTTATTCACAATATATATTATTTAAAATCTTACATTTATAAACCTGCAATAAAACAGAACTTGAAAGAGGACTACTCATCCTGTGTTTTAGATGATACTAGGTAAATTTAGCTTAACTCAACCAATATGTAACCCAATAGTTTAAAACCAAAGTTTAAACACAAACAAAAGTACACAGAAAACAACAGAAGTTGTGGAAATTAACTAGAAACAGAAATATAAGAAATTAGTACTAATATTGTGATAATGAACTAATACTAAATATAATGATACTGTAGATTCTTTTTGCAGTCATACCTACAACAGAAGTGGTGATTATCTAGTAGATTTAACTATTCTTTATTTAAACTATACACATTATCTTCAGGTTAGAATGTCTCACAGTTATAGATAATTTTATCTTTAATATATAAACATTTGTTAATTAAGCTTACTTTTCTATCTTTTCATCTCTGACAACATTTGGTTAATGGACGAATAAATTAATAAATGTGTACAATTATTGAAAAATTATAAAAATGAGTAAGCATGTTTGGTTATGAAAAAGTCTTAACCCTTATGTGCACAACTGGGTACCTGGGTATCCACCGCGCCATACTTTTGCGTATAACTTTATGAAAAATTGAAATATCGATTTTTCCGTCTAGGAATGCCTCGTTGAACTCTTTGGGAATATGAAACGACTGAAAAAAAATTTTTTTCAAATTTTTCTAACCCAAAATTACATGGGTTTATGATACATACACGTTAGGCACAACCGGGTACCTGGGTATCCACTAGGTGTAAAATTATGTTTTCACTCATTTTATTTAGGTAATGGTAGTTTATAAATAAACAACAAATATAATTTTCATGTACTGCAAACATTTATTAAGCTTTACTGTGCGCAATCGACACATTTTACAATTGATATAGAATGTTCATCGCAGATTGGTTTTTCGCACACTGCACAACTCTTTCGTGTCTTCCTGCGTCGTTTTACTGTCTCCTTATAGCAGACGTGACACGAACCAGTAGTTTTCTTGCGGCCAGTACTGTCACGTGGCTGGTTTTGAACAGCAGAAGCCTCAGAAGGGATAAGCTGTAGACCGACGATGCTCTCGATAGCGAGTTTTGTGTGGAAATGCTGTAGTGGGGATGTAAAAAGGATAATACTAATTCGGTAATAGCAAAATAAAAATACCGGCCACACACGTGCAGAAGCTTGTTGAGCGTCGTTTAGATTCACGTGTGATTGTTTTCAAGCATTTTTCGTGCCAATATTGTATGCTAATATATAGCTATAAAATGCTAATTCCTACCTGCCCTGCGCTCCAGTACTCAATTATTATTTTTATTTTTTGGAATGCTGTGGCGGCTCAGGATCTCCAGTATGACTTAAGTACTTTCTATTGATGTTTATTTAATGAAATAACTTATTTCAAACAATTCCGTTTGCTTAAACTGTCAAAAATTAAGATAAACTCGCAGTGGATACCCGGGTACCCCGGTTGTGCAACAACGTGGAAAAATTTGGTTGTGCACATAAGGGTTAAGCAAATTAATAAAAAAGGTTCAATTAAGTGACTCAATTAAAGATTAGGTGCATCATTAATTTATTTTAAGAATTTTTTACACATTAAAACACATATATTTAATTTTTATTAATCAGATAAAGAGTTTGCCACTTTTTATCTATTGCAATATTATGAGAAAACATTTTCTGTAGATGCAAGAATCTAGACACTTAAATTTTTTAAACAAGTCAGTGTTATGTTACAAATTGTTCCATAAACAAACAATTTAACCAGAAGTGAGCTATTCTTTTAATTTGTTGTTAATAACTTTTTTAATAATTAACATCATACCAAATTTACTTAAATTGTGAGTTTCTTTGTTTTTAAATGATTTATGAATTATGGTCTCAATATGTCTAGTAGTCTTTCCAAAAGTCTAATTGTTTATCCAGATTTTATAAAGAAAGTAATTTTCAAATTGTCATAGTGTTCTAGGGTCTGCGTAACAACTATTTTGGTCTCATTTTCTTCATAAAGTATGATCTTTTTTAAAATTATATATTAAAACCATGCAACAAACAGAAAGTAACAATTCTATCACCTAATTGTTGAAAAAAATATTAATGTATCATATTTTTCACTATTCACACAAATCACAAAGAGTGAGACAAATAAAAGAGAGAGGGAGATTGAATTATCAATTAAAATATCACCAGTAGCATTATCTATTTTCAAATGTCAATACATAGAATATGCAGAAGTATGAAAGACTTTCAGGAGTATTCAAGCCTAAAATACTCCAAAATATTTGTAGCTATAAACCATCAAAGGCAGTGGCGCAAAAGATATAACTTGGAATTATAAAAACTCTTTAATGAACCTGATGTCTTAACATTCATTAAAATATGGTGACCTAGATGGGCTGAACACATAATGTGAATATGGGACAGCATGATTGCTAAAAGCTAACCAGCTAGCCTGTAGGTAGAAGAAGCAGGGACAGACCATGAATTGGGTGATTAGATGGAGTTAAGTCCTACTTAAGAATAACATGTTGCTAGAAACTGAACAGAATGACAACAAATCTTGGAGCAGACTATGATCCACAAAGGATTGTCAAGCCAAAGATGATGTTAATGATAATTAATACCATCAGTAGCATAATCTACTTTTCATTTGTGAATACATTTTATGGGAATGAAAAAACATTCTGCTATAGGATTTTTTATGTTCCATAGAAGATATTTAAAACCAGATAAAAAAGCCAGTGGTACTGAACGAATTGGTAAATACAGTAAAACCTCCGTTAACTGAAATAATTGGGATAACTGTTTCAGATAACAAGAATTTCGTTTAAAAAATAACATTGTTTTTTGTTTTTTATAGTATTCTTGGTTAAAGTATTGGTATTAAAAAATACTATGAGGTGATTTCATAATGTTTTCTAGATAAGTAAATACAGAATAAAGTAATAAAATTAAGGAAAATGAACAAGTTTAACAAGTTTCTTAAAGAAATCTTCTATTTTCTTTTACGTTATCGTTTGACAACGATGTTTTCCAGCTATATATCTCCATAGTTTACTTGCAGAACGTCGTGAGTTTGCCTCATTTCATCGTTCGATGAAACGTAAAGCAATCTGTAAAGGACAAAACTTTATACAATGACAACAAAAATTAAGAACCTAGTCGTGTCCCTAACTAATTAGGCCTACTGTATAAAGTTCTTATCCTTAAGGCATTGAAAATCTCGTCGCCAGTCTCATGCTGCCTGTTGTCTGTTGGGTCGTCGTCTGATACGCTCAAGTTGTCTGGATGAAGAACCATATCAATGATGGCCTGGTCGATAAATTCACTTTCTGAGTCATCGGCTGCTAACCACTTACATATCTCTTCTTAGTTAATTTCGTCACATCCTTCTTTACCATTTTCTTCTTCAGGATCGTCCATCAAAATCCTAATCAAAAGTTAGTTCCAGCATTTTTCCAAAGTTGAAAATTTGATCTTGGCCCAGAACTCAGCACACTGATAA